CCCAAAGCACATAACTGCACGACTCAGTGAAAGTGAAGTCACCATGGGCTATCATGTATCATGTAAAGCTAGACGAGCCAGTCCTATAAAAATACAGACAACATTTCAAAATAGTACTTATATTAAGCATGTATGCAATATGATTGGCCTTGTGAGCATGCGGCGAAAAATCGTGACGGTATACAGAAAAGAAAACACGCAAACAGTAGCTCTTATGATGTTTATTAGTGTAAAGGATATCATAATTTAGGTCAATTGCGGAAACTTATAGCTAAATAGGATCAACTTTGTAAACAGATGTAATCCGGAAAACCAACGGAGTCCGCTAAACGCATCTACGGTCGGGTCTCGAATTGCTTCCTTTCTTACGATCACGAGCCAAGCTTTCCTACGTTACCAAATTTGAAACAAAAAAACAATTTTTAGTAGACTTTCTTGGCCACCGATTTTGTTCGGAAAGGTCGGCTAGTCCGTAGAAACACGCGTGAAAACGGACTAGATGATGTAAACAACATCGCACCCAGCGACCCCCTTGAATTAGCCTTGTGAACTTTTGTACATTCCTGGCCTTTATTCAATAGTTAATCAAAAATACTTCCTTCATCACATTAATGTTAGGTCAACAAGACCACAAGCATTGCTTTCTTTTTGAAACGCCTTACCGAAAGCTAAAAAACAAATAGGAAAGCCTTCGGTAAGGTGCCATGCGCTTTCCAGTGAAACGAAACTACATGTAGTTCAAATATTTAGCAAAAAACCCTTGGAAAGTGTTTGATTTTACACGTAACTAATTCATCCTATTTCAGCCGGAGGAAGAAAGATGTTGTTTGACGCTTTTAACATGCAACTATAGTTTTAACTTACAACCAAAGTTACAAGGTCAGAGAGAAACGATTGTTTTTTTGGCAACGCATTGCAATTCAAAACAAACAATCCCCAAAGGCCATCTTGGTTAAAGATGATCGATCCTGTCATGAAAGGTTACTGACTACTTGGTGAATGCAACCCAAAAAGCTTATAAAAGCTTTCTCTCTATCAGATTAGACCTATTCTTAGATTAAATTCATTCTTCCCAAATCATGAAACACTGATCTCTTCTTAGCATTACTCCAAAGGTGGTTACACAAAGCAGCGAAGCAACGATTTCTGAACACGAAAACGATTCAGTGCTTGACAACACGTAGGAAATTTTTAAACTTGTTAATTTATGCCTTGAAACTGAAGCCCTCCTCAAAACGCCCTGAAAGTCAAATATAGGGGGAAAGTGGTGAACAGAGGCTTAAAACTTGCACAACGGTTTTTATGGGGAACTTTCGTGAGCAAAACTAGTACACAGAGAACACACCATTCTGTCAGGGCGGTTAGACTTTTAGAACATCATTTTATGGCTATTTTAGGTTGTCATTGTATTCATACACACTGAAGTGTGCAGAACAAGAAAACGCAGTTCTATCACTGAAAATTCGTGAAAGAATCTCATAATTTTGAATTTTGGGCCATGAGCGTAATACTCATTTAAAATAAAGGTGAACCTTTCCCTCAAACAGATCGATATCTGACCATCTGTGATGCCGTGGAGTTTAAGGATTACCATTTTCCTCATTTTGGCTTGATGATCGATCCGGCTCACGTACAGGGCGGCATTTTCACTCACGTGGCCAGCAGCCCTTCAAATTTCTTAGAACAAATTTAAGTTCTTAAATAGGAAAAGATCTCGACTCCCATAGGATTGGTTTGGTACATACACCAACATGGCCGCCATTTCATCATTTTGGGACACCAGTATGGTTGCCGTGACGTCATGTGAAAACACTCTTTGCTTTATGAAGATGATCCCTCTTTTTTAATTCAAGATTCTGGCTTGATTACAATTTTACCAAAAAAAGCAAAGAGAAGAGATAAAAATCATAAGATTGACGAGTTTTTGTTATCGCTCGATCTTAATCTTTCAGCTTGGTCTGAGTCAGGAAAGGTTTACTTTTATCATGCCGGTAAATAGACTGGGATATGCCCTAAAAGGGTTAATAATCAGGCTTAAATGTAAAAGAATTTACGTATACTGTGGTCGGTGAACTAAAAATTTAAGCCACAACCTCCGAATCTTAATCCAGTACATGCACGTTCAAGTTGTAAACCATTTTACATCTTTATCAGTTCCTAAAATATCGATCGACATATGTACCAGACGAAAATGCCCCAACGTATACAGAGATCGAAACAAATAAGCGACATTCACGAGTAGATATACGTCACAACATTCATCCACTGTCGTTCACCTCATTCCACCTTACTTTTAAGCAAAGATAACGCGCATCTTGAAAATCTAGGCTAAAAATTCAACTTCGTTTTTCTTAATCCGTACGTTTCTATATAATCTTTCAGGCCCACCTTGTTACCGTGTGGTTTCTCTTAACGTCCTTAGCGCCTTTTCAAATAGTCTTAATTTGGCAAACTTATTTATTATTTATTTTTAGTTAGGTTTCTTTTGTCGAAATTGGAACGTCGTCCGTTACGTTGCAAAAAAGGCATGACGTGACAAGGATCGTTTATTTAGTTTGACCGCTTTTGCCGTGATGGAGCAACACAGAACAGAGGACGAGGATGTTGCAACTATTTGAATCCAGAAACGTTCAGTCAAGCTCATTCCTTCACCGTGGTCGGCGCAATTGGTTGCAGTAGAAAACAAAAAACAAACAAACAAACAAACAAACAAACAAACAACAACAAAAAAACACCTAGCTTGGTTTTCGTTCAAAAAAGTCGCGAGATGAATTGCTTTCCCTTGGTTATGATGTGTTATGACGTCACTTAAGTTTTATGACGTCACATGGCATCATTAAATCGGCCACTTTGAGTCGGCCGACTTAGACTTCACTATTCGAAGTCAGAAACTATCGTAAATTGCTGGAAAAGGGCCAAATCCAAATGACAATGGAACCTAAACAGACAGTACTATTTCTAGCTAATTCTGTTATGCTGATCAGGAAAACTGCATGGCACTGTAATACTCAATTCTGTCCAAAAAGTCGAAATTTGGCTTAACTTGCATGGGAATGCGTTGCTATGGCAATTCCAAATGGCGCAATCAAATGCCTGACGCATCAAAGTTACCACGAGGGATGAATAAATGGCTACTGAAACTTTCAGATCCCTGCTTTTCAAAATTTCACAAAATCCTCGAGGAAGAAAGAAGAGAGGCACTGTGCACCAGAGTGACTGCATGGTCGACTGTGTCAGAAGTAATAAGAGACGCGTCACTTCCTGTCTCATGAGGTAATTAATATGCATTTGTGACTAATTTCCTTGTTGAATACTTAGATCCATGTAAACATACAAATTAAGTCAAGCATCACTAAAGATCTTGCATTCCTGGCTGTAAAACTCTAGAACCACCAATTAAGGTGGTCTTTATTTGTTGCTATCGATGAAAAGCGATAAAACAAGGCTCTTTCGTCAAAATCGTGGCTTTTCCACAAGGCAGACGATAAAACAAGTCATTAGAAAACGACGTCGGCATTTTGTTTTTAAGTTAATACGAGGAGGTAACTGCACTTTGCTGATCAAACTAATAAGAATCTTGATTATGCACAATGCAAACTGTGGATTCCGTTTCAGCCATGACGACGTTCGAGATAGAAGCACTAATTTATTTAGATGGTACCAGTTTTATTTTCATTTACAAAACGTGACTTTATGCATGTTGGCTTCAAAACAGGAACTCTAATTAAAAACTCATTAATTGTCATCATTTGCTACTGTTGCTGACAAGTTAATTAGCTTCAGTCTCAGTTGAGCAGTCAGCAGCCAATTCTGGATACTTCAGTCAGAAAACAGGAACAACATATGGAAGCTTGTATAGAGAACCTCTCGACTTGAGAGAGTAACAGGGAAGTGCACTATTTCTAAACAGTGTTTGGTTTCCTTATAGAACAACGGTGCACATTTTGAAACTGATCAATTTTTGCTCGCGTGATTCAACTCACGATCTAGTGCAGGGAACTTAAGTTAAGTGTTCCACATTTAGATCTATGAATGATGCAAACGCTAATAGACAGTTGTTAACATAATAACAGAGTGTAATTAATGACTTAGTAATTGCTGGCATTTACTTTCCTTTCACGAAAATATTATTTACAAACTGTTATGCTGCGTGCGTTATTAACTACATATTAACCGAGAGTGAGGTCTTTTAGGGCAAATCTCCAACCGAGAGCTTTCCGTATTGACCGAGCGATAGCGATGTCAATACGGCGAGGCCGAGGTTTGAGATTTTCCCATGAAGACCGAACGTTGGAGATAAATAAATAGTTTTACGTTTATTTTATATACTAATGGCCAATAAAAATAGAAACAAGTCGTTGATGAATTCAGGGCCAATTCCTTCGTCTTATCCGTCACCAACTCGTCCTTAACTTAACACCGTGAATTCGCTGATCTCCTGAAATTGTACCTCCTCATGTTTTAAATAGAATTTTACTCTTAGAGCGTTCCTCGTCACTCATCGTTTCAGGCTGCTACAATTTTCGGATAAAAGGCAATAGCTTTTTAATTACCCTTTGCTTTGCTTCTAATCGGCCCGCGGGCATTACGAGAGAGCAACGCCCGAGAATTCGCCAATCAGAGGGTGCGTTATATCGGCTACAGCACAAGCCGACGCGTTAAGGACGGTGCCCATTAAATACATAGGCTTTTTTGTTATATTAGGACCATATAACAAAGTAGATCGTAAAAAGGGCTATTGGAATCCACAAAGAAAACTAGGAGTAGCAACGCATTTTTTCGAGATAATTAACCTTCAATCTCGAACAAAAATGCCGACAGTATTTTTTCTGAAAAAGAAGGAAAATATATTTCTTCACGCTAGATTTCCTTGGAATTCGCCCTACACACAGCAAAGGCAACACATTTATAAATATCTTTAAACTAAATGGTAAAAGGTAACATAAAAACCACTGTCGTTGATTTTCATCACAAAATCGTCGCAACGGCGCTTATAGCGTCACTGACAGCTCTCCTCTGGTTTAGTTTAGTGACCAGTTGTCACCGTGATTTATTTAGCGCGCGCAACGAAACATATTAGGCATGATGGTGAGCGTATTGTATTGAGTTCTTCCCTCTAGCTCAAGGTTTTCTTCGATGTGGGACATGAACACATTAGCTAGTAAGGGACCCAGAGGGGATCCCATAGCCATCCGACTGTTCGTACAGGGCTCCAGTGAATTGAAAACCTTGAGCTAGAGGGTAAACTCCCTTCTTTCTATCGAAGATATGTTGACGATACGCTCGCCATCATGTCGAATATAGCAACAACATCTAACTTCCTGGACACGCTTAACAAAGTACATTCCTCTGTAAAATTCACGATGGAAACCGAACGCAATGGAATGCTCCCATTTCTGGGTATCCAGTTATCGAATCGATCGCCTCAAATAGAGACAAAGGTGCACATAAAACCCACTAACTCAGGTCTGCTCTTGCACTGTCAGAGTCATGTTGACAATAGGTGCCAAAATGGCTTGCTGAGAACTATGCTTGATCAAGCAGATCGTTTATCCTCATCTTGTCTTGAAGATTGTATTCTCCCGTTCAGTTTGAAGTACCCGAAACGCCTCGTTAACTCTACCATCAAAAGTTTCGTTGACTCAAAGGTTTGTGACCAGCAACGACTTTTATCACCATCTCAAGAGACAGATGACACGATTCGAGTAACTTTATTACAATTTAAAGACCAAATCTCAGCAGATATTGCGGGGAAACAACTTAAGGATCCGAGCTTAAAAGTACAAATCACCATCCAGCCTATGTTTGTGAGCCGAAAAATTGAACGAGAACTAAATGTGAAAGAAACAAAGCCACCGATTGTGAATCAGCAGTGTGTTGTTTACAGTTTTCAATGTGACCTGTGTGATGCGGGTTATGTAGGTTACACACGCGGACATTTACATAATCGTGTAAAAGGACATAAACAATAATCCTCCGCCATTGCCAAACACTAAAAGAACGTGCATAGGACAATGCCTCAGGATCTGCTAAAGTGTTTCCATGTGCTTAAGAAATGCAGAAACAAATTCGACTGTTTAGTGCAAGAAATGCTTTTTATAAGAGCTTTAAAGCCAAATCTAAACGCGCAATCAGATTCCATTCGTGCGAAAGTATTTTCATAATCTTCGCACCCTTTTATGTTAATTCTTCAGGCCAAAATCGCTTTAAATGCTGTAATTTGCATGATCTAACATATATTTTCCCTTGATAATGGAGTCATGAATACTCCGAAACGTCGGATTTTATCGTTCGTTTTTGCCGTTTTATGTTTTAAGAAATCTCTTTTGATACGAAAAAGAGGACGGAGATTCTTTTGTTTTTACACAATGATAATTTTGACTTGATGGGTACAAAATTTAAATGTGTGGCCAACTGTTCCAGTAGTATGAAGACTTTGATTATTAAAAACAATTATATTTGAAATGTGTAACAATTCCTGTTATAAAAAAAAGGATAACGGATCACAGGATACAAGGTCAGTAGACACGGCTTCTGATTGGCTAAGCCGGCTGACTTGGGTAAAGTAACCCTGAAAACCATTATCGCGGCCATGATTGTCAATGAGGTCTATGAATTTTTCAGATGCCAAGAAGACCTTTCCTTGCTATGAAAAGTCTACCACTTTTTGTTCAAGTCATCGCCTATTTCAAATTATTTTTCGTAACAATTTCCCAGCAGGAAGAAGTGTCAAGCAAACTTCGAAACAAGCCACTTGGAGCAAGGTTATAGGTGATGGTGAACTAATTCCACAACAGTGCAAGCCTATTACAACGAACACACTCGGTTCTAACAGTTACCTTCTTTAAACACTCGCAAATGTGGAGGCATGGTGGCCTAAGGGTTTGTGTGCAAAACTCTGCACCAAGCTTTCCCATTTCCAGTTCTACGTAATGGGGTCAAATCACCATCTCCGTTTGCAAGGGTAAGTTCTTTCAATGCACACGCACGATTATATCACTGTTTCAGCTAGAAAATAAAGGTCAAGTCAAGCCATCTTTATTTAGGCAGGGTAACCCCATTACCCCATCAGCCATAGGATGGTATCAAAAGAGGCCCTGCGTAAAATGTAGACTACATGATAAAAAATTCAGAATTTAAAAATTACCGCAAAGTTATGTACAAGGAGTTTAAAAACTGAAAATGAAATTACATTTCAATTACAAAGTGCTGATTTATAACAGCTGCCAGGAGTGATGGCGGTTATTTTCGGTCTTTATTTAAAGTCTTAGTGGGTTCTTCTGGAAGAGGTTGTCTAGCTATCCAATCCAACCCCCTTGTTCTGAAGAGGGTAAGCTATCTTAGCAATCCTCCGCTCCCCCCTCCCCCGCTTCCCCCGCCCCAACCCCACTTCCTCCAATGGCCCTTGTAGCTCTCTAAATAAAACCAGGATAAACTAATTTCCACGCGAAAAATTTAGGTTTTATTGAACCTTTAATAAATAGAAAACCACTATCTACATACAATCAGTAAAAACAGTGCAGCAAGATTTTAACTTAACCAGTGACCACTGGTGGCAACAGCTTTTTTAATCACCAACAGTAGCAGCAAGAAGTAGCAGCAATCACAAGCGAGGGTCTATGTTCATACAAGACACTTTATTCCAGCTTGACTTTAAATGTGATTCAAATCGACTTCACTTTGTATTGAAACGACTGGACACCCCGCTTGAGATAACTGTACAACATTTGGAACCTGACTAGTTTGCACCAAAAATCTTTGATACACAGTGCATCCAAAAAACATGCCTTAATGGTAAATATTCACTCTTTGTTTTTTTTTTTTTTTCACCTCAATTAACTATTGCTGTAATCCCAATTAAAAATTCAACCAAACATTCATTAGTCAGAGCAGTTTTCAATTGAGTGTCGTAAAAAAGACAAAGTAACCCCTCCAGCCAATCACAAAAGACTCGGACAATCTAGTGAACCAATCAAAACTTGAAATACATGTAGCTGACGCGACGCGCGGGAAAACGCAAGGACGATTCAAATTTGGATTTCTTTTTACTTCTGATTGGACGAAAAAGTGACAGGAGTTTTTTTGAGCCACTCGTGTAGTGTGGTAATGCAAGAACAAAGCAACTGGGAATTACTTTTGACACTCAATTGAAAACTGCTCTATCTTCCAGGCCTAGGTCACGGAGTATGTCACACAAGAACTGTCTTCAGTGGTATGAAACCTTTAAATAATGTTTTCAACCCTTTGCCAGGCGAGAAGAGTTCATGCCCAAGATCAAAATGATTTGCATTAAGCTGAACACAAGCAAGAATCAAGCTTACAGTCAGTCTATCAGAAAAATTGGCCTTAATGTAATGAAAACTATCTTTCTTGTCAAATATTTCAAAGGTACAATTATGTAAATGGCAGTTACGTTGAAGCCACATGCATTGTCAAGTACTGAAGATTGACAAGAAGCACTAAAAATAATGTGGCCTACAGGTAGCGTGACAAAACCGACCAAAATAGTATGGTGTGACAGAACTGCCCACCAGACCTATTGCCCACGTGACCTATTGTGACTGAAACGCCCAAAAATAACAAAACTTTGTCCTTAAATACATCACCTTTAATTGATTCTTACTTGCCCAAAATCATATTTTGGAATGAATTCAGTAAAACCCACCCCTTCCTTCCCTACTTCCTGCTTGTCCCCCCTCACAGTCAAATCGCATACGGCTTTAAAGAACTTAGTGAGATATAAAGGGGGTAACACCAAGCCCTGCACTAACTTTCACTTGCCTAAATTTTTTTGTTCAAATATTCAGCCTTTCAAAAGCACCCTCCCTTTCCTACACCCTGCCTAAATTAAATGAACTCACTGAATTTAAATAAAGGGAAATGATCATGCCCTTTTTTAAATTTTAGTTTCCCGTCATCTGATTTTCATTTCCCAATTTTCTTTAACAGTGTTTGAAAATTCTAGCATACAAAAACATATCTCCCTTCCCTAAATCTCCCTCCTAATGAAAGACAAAAGACATTCAAGAACTTGCTGAAGATAAAGAGGAAATATAATCCTAAAGTAAAATTAATTAACAGTATCTACATGTATTGCCAGTTACAGTAAATTGAGTTACTCCACACAACCCTTCCCCAATTGGTGTTCACTACATTAGAAATTACTGTTAACTGCTCTCTGGAGCTGGGAAGACTTTCTCAAAATCTGCAAGCAGCCCTATCATGTATGAAGAAATTAAAAGCTTTATCTAATCTATATGACCTGATCCCTTACTTTTTAAACTAATTTTATATGTAATATGAAGCCTGAAAACTAGTGAATCATGCATGCATACAATAACATTTACAGATGAAGTTTCAATACTACGGACTACTTTGAACTAGATTCTACAGCATCCTATGCTACTTAAAAAAAAAAAAAAAAAAAAATTTGGTAGATAAACAACTTTACTCCAAAAAAAAAAACAAAAAAAAAACTTAATATACTGACTCGAAAATTACAAACCAAGAGTGGACTTGTGTAATTTCTCTCTACTTCATAGTGTGAGGTAGAATGGATAACTCAGTTTTCAAGCGAGTGTGTGTGTGTCCATGAAGAATACTGAACAGCAGACACTGAAAGATCAGCTGATGAAGATCCCTCTTTTCAAGAGGTATCCACATTACACATTAGAGAGTTGTGTGCCGTAATACACAGATGTCTGTTTTACATGTAAACAGGTGTCTACAATAAAACATTGTCTGCCCAAGAGAGGTGTCTGCTACAGAGAGATGTGTGTCAGAAAGGCAATCATGCAGTCAAATGTCCATTGGCCAGTCCACATGTAGGTGTAGTCTGCAAAGATTATCTCCATCACAAAGTTGTTGCATCAATGTGGACTTTAACAGGAAGGGGGCCTGCATCGTCTTTTTCATCCTCTTTAACTAGCGGCATTTTCTCCAGTAAGCTGTCATCATCCAAGAACAAGAGTTCTCCAACAACAGCAGCCTTAGTCGAAAAAAGACAGGTTAAGGTTGAAGAGAATTTACTTCAGAAGATCTAGAGTATTAAAACTATCGTCCCTATGTCCACATTTCCCCTCTGTTACATACACAACTTCCCAGCAAGTCAAAACTATTTCTGGTCCATATTTTTTGGGCAGTCATTAATTTTGGGATGTTACGATGCAGTGTTTCAGCCAGAAAATTTTACTTGAGGGTCAAAGTGGCCCATGAAGACCTTTTTAGGGGCCAATTTTTTAGGAAAGGGGACAATAATAACAATTGATAAAAATAGCCAAATTTATGCAAATTTTTGGTTGCCAGATGATCTGAGCATTAGAAGAGAACAATCCATAGGCATACATGACGTAGTCAATGATCAAGGGTTTGCAATGCATTATAGGGCAGTTCAAACATGGTCAGCCATTTGGAAGTTTTCCAATGGATTGACTTCTTTTCTTATGTTGAATGTTTTAGAAACAAAGATCTTTCAATAGGGTTTTCTAGAAGGACATAATGTTTGAGAACATAACCCTTATTGATTGTCAGCACAGAGAAATGTAGTTGCCATTATAGCAACTACAGTGCAGCTCAGATATATCCCAACCAAAATATATGCGTAATTGGTGTCAGCCCAATATGTGTATATACATGTGCATACACGCACATACCCGTATACAGTACATGTATATCCACGTATGCCTGATTAGTATGTATGAGCTAACCTATTGTTTTTTCTTTTCTCAACAGGTCATTGTTGTTTTCAATGGCTTGACAGCTTGCCACAGAGTGAGAAAGAGTTTTCTTTATTTTGAATATGCATATACAGTATACGCGCGTATGCCTTCAGACTAGACTTCTTAGCAAAATGTTAGCTGAAACTAACATTTTGCCATTGGGCACTTGACTGAAAATTAACAGACTGAATATTTACTGTTTTTTTTTTTTTTTTTTTTTTTTGTCAAATAGAACGAGGGACACATGCTTCAACAATCCCATCTTCATG